AGAAATGTTTTTAATGATTTTGTCGGTGGCCAAAAAAACATCCTTGATCATATCACTATCATTTAATGTTAATATTCGTATTCATTTCGCAAGAGTGATATCCTCTTTTATGTTAATTCAAAGACAGATTTTTTTGTACCACTAAAATAAGGAATGTGAAGTTTTCTTTTGTCACTGTGATCTAACAATGTTGTTGTTCGGTTTTTAAGGAAATTGACAATTTGGTCTGGAATAGGGTATGATTTGGGTATGATTATAACGTGAACCCCTCAAAGTGCAATGTTTAGATAAATCTTAAATTAATATCACTTTATCAAACAGACAGATAACATGGCCGCAATGTACGTGCTGTGTGCTATATTACCAACGTGACAATGTGAATAATTTTATCAAATTGATGTCCGGATGCCCTGCACACCGCACGTACTTTTCGTCAGGATGTTGGAAATCTACACGAACACATTGCGTGTGAAATATTGCAAATTCTTAGACGTTTTTTCGCTTTATGGAATCGCACATTATTAAGCTAGATGGAACAATCGTTGTTTCTCCCAGCTCAAAATCTCCTGGAAACGAAAAGCTTTCTTTTTAATTATTTAAGCAACTTAATTAGAGTATGACCGACGTGATGTATTAATATGTTCCAGTGAAGTTACTTCCGAAAGGATCTTGAACGTAAGTAAAATGATGTGAGCCTTATGACATAAAACCATACGGCACCCTAAATTAAGGTTAGTCGCTGATCTCAGAAAGCAATTAGCTGGAAGACGCGCATTAATTAATAGATGTAAGTTCACAGACAACACAGTTAGAGGGAGGACGGTTTATGATAATATTTGTTAGCGAAAGGCGAACTTTTCAGAATCAGTGAGCGGCCGATTGTCGAAGAGAGAGCCAAGGTGAGTTCATTTAAGTTTATGAGGTAGAAGACGCGAAGGAGCTGAATAGTGTAGCCGGGTAACTCCTTGACTCTCCAGGCGTGTCAAACATGCAGATAGATCAGTGTCTAAGACCTATGCTTTTTTTAAATTAAATCCGAGTCTAAGACTTCGTCAACACAAAGCCAAAGGGGCGTCAATGTATTTGGCTATTCGTCAGGGAGTTTAATCCTGCATTTACTACAAAATAGGTATCGGTTTAACTTATATAGCAACGCAGGCTGGGTCTCTCATCTGAGGTACGACAACGCATAATTTTTTTGCCAAAACTACGAAAATTCTGAAGGTTGGTGGGTCTATCATTCCGCGCGTGCGAAACGTTTGCACTCAGCGAATACTGGATTCCCTGTAACGTGCAATTTGTGTTCTGTGTGTTNGAGATTGTACTTTACACCATAAACTCTCATATCACTAAACACCTGCTCGTATCTCTATATCAATTTTAGGCGACAGCACTACCCGATCCTTAACGTTAACGTCACGGCTGACAGTGGAAATGGGCATTCTATACTTAGGCTACCTCCTTCTCATATTGACGTCATTGGTAGGCAACTCTCTGCTCATTCATATCATACGTACGAAACACTTTTTGAAGACAGCAACCAATCGTCTTATACTCAATCAAGCATGTGCAGACTTGATTGCCACGTTGACCAGCATGACAGCCATGTTTAGTGATTCCCTCTTTTTCAAAGAGTGGTTTGGTGGAATGAACGGCCTGGTGACCTGTAGGGTCGCCGTTTGGGTATATTTTTTGCCACCGTTTTGTTCCGTATGGACCCTGACAGCAATTACCATTGACCGATATTTTGGGGTAGCTCGGCCCTTGCAGTCTTCTCCGATAACACGTCATATCCGGCTTGTTATTATGGGATTGTGGATCTGGGCAATTGGGTCAGCGGCTGGAATGGAAGTTATGACACACTTAGCGTTCATCGGCAGACATGTTTTCTGCGTAATTGATTATTCGCACGTTACGATGAATGTAGGGAACATAACAGCGCTGTGTTTACTGCGTCTTAACTTTCTTGTACCTCTTCTGGCCATGACTGTCCTATACTCGATCGTGTCTTACCGTTTATGGTCACGTAATCCACCAGGGGAAGGAACCAATCACGACCAAAGACAAGTAGAAGTGATGAAGACAGCCAAGAAAGTTTACCGGATGATGATTGTTGTTGTGGTTTTGTTTGTTTTCTGTTGGTGTCCATTTCATGTTTTTGTTGGTTTGTATAGCTTACATAAGATCAGTTTGCCGTATCCTGCACTTAAGTTTGTTGTTTGGTTGTCAAACGCTTACAGTGCGATAAATCCGTTAATTTACTTTTCTTTTAACAGTAATTTTAAGCTGGAGTTAAAGGTACTATTTGGAAAATGTTGCAAGAAGCCGAAGTGCTGCACATAGCATTCTTACACAGATCTATATATGTTTTTTTTCCTTGGTTCAATTCCTTGATTCGTATGCCTTATTTAAGTATTAAAAATCAAACTTAAACGACATTTCACAGTCATATGTCGTTGCGTTCAGTCGAGAAAGCAAGAAGGGTAGTGTTAACTCTGAATTACAAATGCTTACCAAATCTAGTTGTCCAACCTTTAAACTCCACGATTAACTCATTGACTGACCGAATGACGGATTGATTGATTGATTGATTGATTGATTGATTGGTCGTGCGGACGGTGGGCATAGGCTTTTCGAAACTTTGAGACATAGAAATACATGAAAGTTTATTAATTTGTTTTCCTAATCAATTTTTTAGTACATCATTCTACGAGCGATCAATACTTTCTGTAGGTAGTTTGGAATAAATAAATCTATTTGCTGGGCTTTGAAAGAATCAAACTAGAGCTTTTAAATCCTAAAACTATGCAATCACATAATATCCTTTCTTAGTTGACCTCGTATCAAATAAAATCTAGTAAAAGATGACATGGACAAAATAAAAAATCATAGATAAATATTAAATACACAAATATGTTTCGGAAACACTTA